CCCTTTTTTTTGAAAATTAAAAGAAAAAACCTAGGAAGCACATGATATCCTTAGTTCTTTTTATGGTCAGAATCAGATTTGGAAAAAAAAAATCTAGGAAGTTTTTCTTTGCAGTACTGGTGCTTTGTCGCACCCTCAGAGAATTATAAATGTCTCTCAATCATTCATCGTTGGATCTTCCTTTCGTTTATGCAATGGTTGACCTAAGCAAATTCAAGCCATATGCAATGGCCTCTGAATGCTCAGTGAAAGCAATTTGGTCATATGACTCGAGAACAACTGGCTTCTACAGATAAAAAGGATCAAATTTAAACAGTTTACATGAAGAAAACAGAACCAACAACAAACAGTAAGCTAAGAAATTGATTTAAGCAAGTTCATGATTATTTCAATTCTTTGAAGATTCTAGATTTCAAAATAATCAGAAGTTCTAAATATTTGGTCATAGCATTGGTGGTTTAATGAGTCTAGCAGTAAACTGAATCAGCATGGAAATGAAAGGTGATGCCAAGATTTCCTATAAGCTTTTGGGAGAAAGAAATTCAAAAAATTTAAAAGAACAACCGAACTGCGCATTTGTCTCCCGGAAACGGCGCCTCTCTACCCCTAAGGTCTGCGTACGCTCTACCCTCCCCAAACCCAACTAGTGTGATTCTACTGGGTTGTTGTTGTAAGTTGTAACCGAACTATTGAAGTGCCCTTTGAGCAGCTAACTTACCGGTTCAACATTGTCATATATTTCAAACAACAAATTTGCAGAAAGAAATAAGTATCAGTTTCCATGTCATGAACTTTTGGATACACATGTATGAATCTGCTAACCCAATTCAAATGCAAAGATCCCAGTGAAAGAGCAGAAACCAGGACAGAGAGAAGTTAAATCATTGCCCATCAGGTTAAAGACATGAGACTTTCTATAGTAATCCTGACTTGGAAAATACAAGATCAACTAAATAACCAGTTAAAATACACTCAGTGTGTCAGCAAATATAAGTAAAATAAGGCAATGTTTCGAATTATATCCTAGAAACGTGGAGAAGTTGAATTAATTTCTTTTGGACGCATTAAGTGAGAAAAATGGATGTTGTCTTTGAATTAGTCTTTGCGAGTCAAAAAACACCAATCTTTGTGGTGCTATACCTCATTGAGATCCTAACTAATCAACTATACAAGACGGATCTCCTGCTTTGATATACAAAATTGTGAGGCCTAAAAAAAGAAAAAGAAAAATGATCTCAACTATATTCTTAAATCCTAAACTGAGAAGTGATGCCAATGAAGATGTCTTCTGAGCAGGGAATTCTGACACCGCCCATTGGATGATTGAAGCCAAATTCTTCCTCAGCTTGACTAAGCAAATCTTGAAATAAAGGCTGGCTCAAGTATGTTATACGAGGAACACGGATAGCCATGCCTTTTTATTTAAGATGAGGAAACGATGAAAAGAATACTAAAATTCTGAAAGCTTTGAGTAGTTTTATAGTTTTGAGGAGAGCTGTGGTGGTGTGAAACTTGTCAAAACATGTTTATATAAGTAAATGGAAAGTCATAAAATCTCATGATTTTGTGGTGAAGAGCCATTTGGGCTGAGCATCAGTGAAAGACAATGACATACCAATAACCACATGGTCCCGCCTTCCAACTAATTGACAAGATTAATTATTTTAGCTCATAAAAGTTCAAGAACAGTAGGTCCTACCATTTTCTTATGCATGGAACAAAGGATCTCATAGAATCAATTGCATAAGAATGGATTGTCCTTATGATGATTTGTGTCTGGAACACTATCCATCAGGACTAAAACATACAAATTTAGTGTCCATCTACGTCAATACTATAAGAGAAAACAAGTCAATTATATCTCAAATTTCAGTGGTGAAGAGGCATTTGTTGCGTTGTTGATTGACAATAGCAGATGAAGTATCACATGGTTTTGCTATCTAACTCATTATCAAGAATTTATGATTTTAGGCTATTCTGCCTGAAGATCAGTAGGTCCCACTGTTTTATGACATGATAGAAAAAAGAGGATCTTTAGAAATCAAATTGATAACAACGGGTGATTGTCCTTCAGGTCCGGACCACTTGTTCTGCAATTAGAAATAAATTTACTGCTATCAGACAACTTGTTTGGTCCCTCATGCTAAGTCATTATGTAGAATCAACGTTCCTGATTAGAATTACCTGAGTTATTTCAACAATTTCTCCAAACAGTAGAGGGCAGAAATGTTTATATCTTAGAGTTAATCAAGTTACATCTATTCTTGTCAGCAGTGGAAATGTTGAAGATCTTGAATCGAATAAGAACAAAGAAAACTGACCAACAAAGAAGCTCAGATCTGCATCTGAGGTATGGCCATTGGACACAAAAGCTTAAAACTAGAGCAGCTGTTGAACCAATGACAATGTATTGACCACTCCAAGTGTAGGATCGTTTCATTTAAGAAAACAGACTCATCCATTCTGTATTCTTGCCATAAATAGGATTAACAACAGAAATCAAACAGTAAACTAATTTAATGATTACATATTCTGTGAGTGTTAACGAGTAAGCAGGGAGCTTCGCTTGAAAGAAAAAGATGTTTTCACACTCCTAAGCTTTGGAAAGCCAAATGGTAAACATGGTAGCTCTTATTACATCTTCAAAATATTTTTTCTATCGCATTCAGGTGCACATACAAAACCAAGAAAGTTGAGCAAGAATTTTTATATTGCAATAAATTATTCCATCAATATATGGAATTAATTCGAAACCATAGAAGTAAACATGTTCATTACTTCAATTTCTTTTGAAGTAGAAAAATGTCTCCTTAATCAAGAGAAAAGGTATTACATCTCCATTCTTTATGGAGCTAATTTCATTAGTCTAACTTTAAATTACTGTTTCTTCTAACTCCTGAACTGTACGCTCTGGAGACCTTACTTTACAGCTTTACAAAATTGTGTAAGAGAAAAACTGGTGACTCGTTAATTTCCTTCTCACTTCCTCAAGCGAGATGTGAGATCAACGAACACATCCTCACTGCAAGGAATTGTGACACCACCCATAGGATGATCAAAGCCAAATTCTTCCTCAGCTTGACTAAGCAAGTCTTGAAATAAAGGTTGGCTCAAGAACGAGATGGGGATTACAAATCTCTTCTTCTGCTTCTCCCCAACATACACAGCAAAATGGCCTTTTGGAACATCTCCACTTGTGGAAGACTTCTTGATTATACGAGGCATACGAATAGCCATGATCTTTTAGTTTTAATGTATAAGAGCAAAGAAGGAAAAGAAGAACTACTAGACCTCAAAAGCAAAAAATAATCTTTGAATGCTTTCAAGTTTTGCTGAGAGCTGTGGTGGTAGTCACACTTTGAATGTGTTTATATAGGCCAAATGGCAACTCAGAGAATCCTATTGATAGTAAAGAGTTATTTCATGGGCACCCACGGAATACAATAGCGCCTGAAGTAACATGGTTTTGCCTTCCAACTAATTTTCAAAGTATTCATATCTTTAGTCCATTTAAGATCAAGACATCAGGCCCTACCTTTTGTCTGAAGTTGTATCCTAGAGTGATTATTCATGTCTAGATATACACCTATACATTTCTTGTCATTAACATGGTTTTCTAGTAAGATTTTATTCAAATTAAATGGAATATCCATCACCAAAACCAATAGAACAAAGGAAAGTGGGATGTTCCAGCTTTCAAGGTGCTGTCTAGCTTGGTCCTGAACTTAATCCAAAATATTTGGCTACTCTTATCTCATCTGAGGAATGCTTAAAAAAACCAACATCTGATGTACTGACATACAAATTTTACTAATTCTGGGAATTCACTTATGTGTTATCAACAAACTTGTATAGCAAAATTAAAAACCAAAATTGAGAAAAATGAAAGAGGAAAAAGGTGAACTTTATGGAAAAGATAAAGAAAAAGAGAACAAAATAAAAAGTGATCCTAATTGCTTGGTCTATAGGTCTATTGTGACGTCCCTTCTCTCCCACCTCACACCTCGGAAGCACCCTTCTTATAGAGCTAAATGCACTTTCAATTACAAAGAACTCTACCAGGCAACATGCAATTGAGGTATTCAGATTTTATACGTTGAAGTATGTAAAACACAAAACGTTATGGGTTTGGATTCAATAACCCGCAAACAAGCAACATTAGTTACTTCATAGCCACTATTTTGGTAACCTAGTAAATATTATACAGCTCTACTAATAAATATTTATAGAAATAAGTTGACTAAAATAAGGTACTATTATATCATAAGTCGTTTTAATCAACCTCGCAGATCAGAATTATCTCAAGTTTTTCAGCTGTTAGTAAGAAATTCAAATAAATCAAGTCCACAGATTTGTTGTAAAGAGAGCAGAAAACAAAAATATCTAATGGAGTGTGATCTATTAATGTCACTTCTTTGATATTTTGATATTTCTGCTGTAGATATATTGGTTTGTTGTCATTGCCAAAAATATTTCAGTGTTCAGGATAAGGTCACAGATAAGGTTTCTTTTTTAGAGTTAATTAATAGACTTTAGAAGCTCCAATTCCCATGTTATGGAGAAAATGGAATCTTGAAAAGAAATTTCTCCAACAAGAATACTGAAAATCCAATTGGCTAAAGAATGAGTCTGGACAGATTTCATTTTCTAACGAATGTGCTGTATGTCTTTTTGACATCAGCTACTGAAAATTACAGTCAAAATTGGGATCTATGCAGCTAACAGTAGCCCCCTCTATCTAATTTTCAGTAATATGGTATAGATAATGTGTCATTCCTAATTCCTCTAATGTACAAACTGGAATTCCTGTGTTCTACAAGTCTGTGAAAGGAAAAGCCTCATATCCTACTCAAGCGGGAAGTAAGATCAATGAAGACATCCTCGCTACAGGGAATTGTGACACCACCCATTGGATGATTAAAGCCAAATTCTTCCTCAGCTTGACTAAGCAAGTCTTGAAATAAAGGTTGGCTCAAGAATGATATGGGGATTAAAAATCTCTTCCTCTGCTTCTCCCCAACATAAACAGCAAAATGGCCCTTTGGAACGTCTCCAGCTGTAGAAGACTTCTTGATTATACGAGGCACACGGAAAGCCATGGTCGTTAAGCTCAATACAGATGAGGAAGGGTAGAATCAGTAAGGACCCTGAAAGCAGAGAAAATCTTTGTATGGTTTGAAGTTTTGGTGAGAACTGTTATGGTAAACCCTTCTTTGTATGTGTTTATATAGGCCAATGACAAGTTGTAGAGTCCTAATGATGTGCATTGAATAGTATTTTGTGGGCACCAGCTAAAAACAATAGCACCTGAAATATCACATGGTTTTGCCTTCCAAATCATTGTCATACTATTTATATATTAAGACTAGTCTAAAAGCAGAGGGTTCCACTGATCTTCACAACAAAGAACATATGGACGCCTATTCTTCTTGAAAAATGGTTTAGTTAGGGACCACCTCTAGCCATTTCTTGAAGTTGTAGTCAGAATTCCAATGATTGATCATCAGATGCAAATCTATAAGGGCATATCCTGAGAATTTTAGACAAAAATCTGATCATCCATAATGCTAAAGCAATGGCTCAGGATACAAGTTGGTTCTTATGACAAAAAACTACTGTCTTACTCTTATGGTTCCAAGTGGTGCTGCAGTTGAAGACTTCGAGAACACTTAAAAAATGGTCAGATTGTGATGATTGTTATTGGAAATAATAGAGAATTGGATAAGGTTAGAATATTTCTCCAGTTACATTTACCAATAAGAAGGTCCTAGGTCCATGTTTCTGGTCAAAGAAAAATAATACCAACCAGTGTCTACTTTTGTTGCGCCAATGCTGAGTATGGGTGGACCTCAACAGTAATTTTGTAGGAAACAAGCAAGAGAAGAATGCAAGCTTATCTTTAATCTGGTGAGCAATTATGATATAGACTGGTACTAAGCCACAAAAACAACATGCTGGCTTAAATTTGTCAAGAAATTCAACATTTGATCAGTTTATATAATACACAACAAGTTGACTTTGAATAGCACTTCATGGAGAATCTAAATTCCTATACCAAAAACTTAGCATTCTAAGTATTTATGAACAGCCAGAGCTATGGCCTGCATGATACTACGGACAAAGACCTCAAAATGTACGGTAAAACTAAAAGAGTTCTGGACAGGGGAGAAATAGCCTCTGAATGCTCATCAGGTGACTCGAGAAGAACATGCTTCTTACTGCACGGAGAGACTAATTCCTCCTCTAGCTATAGTGTCAAATGATAAGTTAATCAACTACACAAAAGCATCAACTCTTTACAGTTGACGTGAAGAGCAGAATCAACAAGAAGTAGCAATCTAAGAAATTGATTTAGCATGACTATTTCAATTCTTGGTCTAATGTTTAAGTAATCAAAACTTCTAATGGCTTGATCCAAGCATCGGGTAGTTTATTTATTACTCCCTGATAAGTTGGTATTTTGCTAACTTATTCATACCTTTTTCTTGAGTTTTAAGGTTTTTTAAGTAAGATTTAATAGTTGTAACTAACTTAATGTGGTTGATTTCAGGCGTGTGAGCTTAAATGATATAGTTGATGAAAGAGTGGATCAAAAAGGATGAAAAGAGATGAAATTTGGAGCATAAGATTGAAGAAACTGAAGATTGAAAAGTGAAGGACAATGTCTCCCCGAAGGTCAATTGTGGAGCCAAAACTAGGGGTGCAAAAGTGCATGAAAATGTTCTAAGTGGGGAAATTTGGAGCAAAGTCTGCCCAACTCCACGATCTTGATCGTTCCACGAACTACTCCACAATCTTAAAGGGCATCTGAAACAAAGAATTGTGCAAGTTCTGCCCAGCTCCACGATCTGAATTGTGGAGCCATTTCAGCCCACGAACCAGGTCACGAACATCATCGTCTCCACGAACAAAGCCACAACCGGACATCGTAGGGGCACTTTTGTCAAATATAGCAAACGATTATAAATAGCAATTTAGGTCAGCTTTTAGGCATCTTTGATCTTTTTGAACGTGGAGAGCAGCTTTTGGAGTTTCCCTTAAGAGTTTTGGGTGATTTCATCATAGTTTGCTCAATCTTTCTCTACTCTCTTAGCTAATATGTTAGATTATTATTTATCTTTATATTTTCTTTCTTTATTATGGCTAGCTAAGCTTCTTAAGCTAGGATTGTGAACCCCAAGTGTGGTTATGTTTTTGGGTTATTAATATTAGTTCCATATTTGATTAAACTTTGTGTTATCTAATTACTCCATGCATTATTGATTGATTTTGTGGTTGCAAGCACTAAATCCATACTTAATTTGCTTGTTCTAACTTGGAAGAGTGGAACTTAGCTTAGGTACAAGATAATTCGTAAGGAATTAATTGGACGTCACCACTCCATCTGTCCCATTTTATGTGACACCCGTTCCCTTTTAATCTATCCCAAAAGAATGACATTTTTTTTTATATTTAGAAACACTTCAACTTTAAGCTTCTCATTTTACCCTTAAGGAGATGATTTATAACCGCACAAATATTTGTGGTTTGTTTTAGAACTCAAGTTTCAAAAGCCTTTCTTTCTTTCTTCTTAAACTCCGAGCTAAGTCAAATATTATCACATAAAAGGGGATCCAGGAGTATACAGTACTAGAAGGCAGAGCTGTAAATCAGAAGAGCAACTCACAAGATGCATTGGCTGATAAATGAACATCAGCATGGAAATGAATGGTGATGTCTTTTCCCTTGGTATTGTTTTATATTTTGTTGTCATTTTGTATAAGCTCGGGGAAAAGGAAGTCTGATTCAAAAGGAGAAAACAGAAAAGTTAATAATCTATTGGTCCTGATAATAATAAATCTTTTAGACGGGGAGTTGCCTTAGAAATGGTTTGGCATTGTCAAGAAATTCAGAGCAGTGTTCTTGACAGGAATTTCATCGAACCACACGGCGGCTCTAGGTAAACAATGACTTGGCACGCAAATCAACCAAAACAGAGAACACATACACGCTTAAAACAAACCAGAATATTCATGTAAAAGGGCGTGAATCACTTGGCCCAAAGTCGACATTTTGAACACCCTTTGAATGCACAGAAGAGAAGTGATGGAGAGCAAGAGCATGGAACTTAGTTTGGCAAAAATGGTTTTAGAAAGCAAAGGGATTTTTGGGCTAAGGATCTTGAAGAAGCTGGTTAGGGTCAGTTTTTTCATTTTTAAGTATAACCATGCAACTCACTGGTCCAACTAATCCAGATTTGAGTCGTGAGCTCTATGGTTGCATTTGCAAAGAATAAAAAGACCCACCCATATGGATTTAACTTATATACATAAAACAGGCCGTAAAATTCATTTTAAACTATCAGTGTGTATGTATATATGATGCATCAGTGTATGTAAAGATTTTGAACTACTCATGCTAAA